ATTTTCCAGACCTGACTAACTAAGGAACATGTTTGCATTGACAATTCATTCAACTATTGACTAAGTAATCCATCCAGTATGGATTACTAAGTAATACATCTAGAATGTGCTTTCTTTAAAAGCCATAGATTAATTTAGGCCCAAAGTAACACGGCAGAGAAATGAAACATATTTTTAAATAATTTAAGTCAAAAATACCATATCCAGATAAATTAATCACAGCAGACACACTCCAAATTGTCACCTTTTCCACCAAACAACTGAACATGTGATTAAAATAAATTTTAGATATGATGATCACTTATCTTTACACCCACAGCAACGATGCAATTCTAGCCGCACCTGAATAAAAGAAGAGCTGTAAAAGACCATCACCTTATTCCAAGACAGGGAAAATTATTCTTGTACTGTTGACAAGAGAAGTTTCCATAGTTCTCTAGAATTTCCCTGATTGACACTTTCCGTTTAACTACACTCACACTTGCAAAGTTTTTCCAAATGCCTATCCCACACCTCTTTTCGTGACAGGAAATGGTAAAACTTACTTTAAATAAAATTGTCTTTATGTTGCTCTCCTATTTCCGTTTCTCTCATTCTCGTGTGTGCAAATATACTATTCATTATTCTTCTGCGACACCTAATTAGGAAAGTCAAATTAACTGTCAATGTAATTAATTCACCAACAAAATTATACTTAGGATTCCCTCAAATTATGTTATTTTCAGGAAAAATATACAACATTTTATCTGAACAACTGAATTTACTGCATTTAGTTTAAGAATCCCATCACTGTACTCTCAAACTTCAAAAAAATATTGTTAATTGGCAGTAGCCGGTATCATAAATGTGGCATACACATTTCATTCAATGTATATGACATTAATGAATAGTTTTAAAAAGGAACAGAACAGTCACAACACTCAGTTTTCAGAGTATGAGGTTTAAGTGAGTATTAGGGCTTAAAAATTATTAAAACAGCTGTGGATCCTAACATTGTTCTCATTTTCCTTTGTAATACATTACGTAGATTTCTTGTACAAACATGAGGCAAGTATTTCTCAAAACGAGTTTTAATACGCCAGAATTTGTCAGTACCTCAAGGAAAATATTTTTTTCAATAAACTAAGAAATACAGTCAACAAATGGTTGAAGTCAGGTTTATAATAAAGACTTTAAATCTAACATGAAATGATGGAGGAAAACTATTGGTTATTCTGAAATGTAAGATGTAATGTATGCAAACACAAAGTAATCATGCAACTTGCTGACAACTTTAACACGAGATATATCTAGAGCAAAGAGCTGCAGCTTGTTTTTATAGAACATTATACCAGAGTATAAACAAGGTGTGAATTTGAAAGGGCTAGAGAAATATCATTGGAATTCAGTATAGATATATTGCAGATTCACTTTTTTTTTTTTTTTAATTTTAATTACATTATTCTCAAAGCATTTTAGGCAGTCCTGGAAAGAGTCACAAAACTGCAGAGACTGTGTTCATATAGGGTACCATAACTTTAGTTATTCAAATATACCACTACAAGTTTGTAAAAAGACACACCTTTGTCCCTCTTGCAATTCTGCTTCTCAGAGGTTCTCAGTGTAACTGCAAAACTGTCCAAACTCTCTGCTGGTCAAACTTAAGGCCACTTGGGTCCTACTACTGTCACTTGCCACGTGTATTGAAAAAAACAAAGCTCACGGTCTGGTCATTCCAGCAGGATGAGGTGGGAGATGAAAAGCCAATTCACAGTGGAAAGTACCTTCTACGTGAGGAGGAACAGAAAAGGGAAAATAAACCTCAAATTTCTAATCTCTCCTGTGTGCAGTTGAACAACCTTTTACAAAGTTCAATAAAGAAGACAAGCGTGCAAATTATTCTATGCTATTCAAAGAGACAGCCTAGCAGGATTCTCACTGTACAAAGCTGGGAGTGAAAAAAACATTTCCTCTTTTTCATTTCACACCTACAGCTGAAGCAGAAATGCTGCTCCTTGACATTATGAACAGACAATACAGTTTAGCTGGTGTAGACCACTTTTTCTTCTCATACAGGGCTTAGCACATCGGTTCACAGTTTGTGGTGCTACAAATACCTCCTAATCCTAGAAATTCACCTAAACACCTGGGCTGTTGAGCTTTTGGTAAGCCAAAACTAAAACAGCTGTACTGCATAATACCAAAGGCTCACTTAGTGTCTTGTATCCAACAATATTCATTGATGTACGCTGAAAGACTGTAAGAACATCACAGGCATACAGGGATACTTCCTGGTTACCTACTCTCGTAATTTCTAGTGATGTGTTCTTCTTGAGTTTTTGATCCAGATATATTATTTCTGTGGGTTTTTTATGCCTCCATAGACTTTGCTTCCATTAAATTTTCTGTCACTTTTTAGACCCATGTAAACCATGGTTAACATTCAGTGGCAAGTTTTACAATTTAAGCATGCAGCACGTGAAAAAAATACTGCTCTCTTTGCATTTTGCACAGGCTACTTGCCCACTACTTCTATCAAAAGACACCTTTTCCACAACACCCCTGAATTTATGGACCCCTGTTATCTCCTTACCGAGCCATCTTTTTCCCAGCCAGACTCCCAACCAGTTCAGCTGTTTCTAAGATGTGTTGTCATTCCATAGCTTTGACCACTTTGACCCTCCTGTTCGAGCCTTGTTTTTCAAATTTTTAAGGAGTGGTGGACCAGACTTTCACATCATGTTGAAATCTAAGCGCAACCATCAACTTACGCAGCACAAAACTTTTCTGTTTTATTCTTTATTCCTTATTCATTCTCAGCATCTTGTCTCTCCTGCTGCTGAGCAATGAGCTGATGTTTCCACAGAATTATCTAGAATAACTCCAAAATCACTTTTCTCATGTCACTATTTGCCCTCTTTAATAGATCTTTTACAAATCTGTTGAGTAGCACAGAGTCCAGCTGGATTCACCTTCTTGAAAATTTTGGTAATTTATTCCTACTCTTTATTATTCTATTTTGCAAATTGCCATGTAATTTCAAGGGACCTCACTCTTCTCCCACTGCATCGTTTCTTAAGGAAACTTTAGTGAGGGACACTGTCTAAAACCCTTCAAAAATCTATGCAAACAACAGCCTGGCCTTTTTCCCTCTGTGCTCCCTGAAGCTTTCCAAGAATCCTGCTAAATAAGAGGAAAGGACTCTGCCAATATGTATCTACTCACACATTCACTAATTCTATTCTGTATCAGTTTTTCCTCAACATATAGACAAATCAAATTTAATAGTCTGTAGATGCAACTTGAAGTATTTTTTTTTTAAATTAGCATTGTATGTATCGCTTTCCATTCCTCCAGTAGGAGGCATTTTTCAATACATAATACTAGCTCAAATATTCCATACATGACTTCTTTTAGAGCTTGTGGGCAAGTCTGGTCCTGCCAGTTTGTTCTAAACCCTTTTCCATAGATGTCGTACTTTCAGACCCGTCTTCACACATCCTGCACAAAAGGCTTTTGCATTCAAATTCGTCTAATCTCCTGCACAGTGAAGAAAAAGATTAGTTTCTCTGTCATAGTTTTGTTAAGTTTGGTGTGTTTTCTACACCTTAATAATCTGCTGAGCCTCTCTCACAGGCTTCCTGTTTAAAAAAACAAACAAAAACCCCCACCAGGTTCTATGGTTCTACTGTTCTATATCTTTGACTGACCTTATTGTGACTTTTTCAAATTTGTTCACATTTGTTGCTTTCTATTGTCCTAATTTAGACATAAAGTGCTTATGTACAAAGGTAAGTTTTTCTCCTTGTGAACTCCCTGAAAGGCTGCTCCATGTAAAAAAAATTATCATCATTACTGTCTGAGGGGACAGTCAACCAGTATTCACACTCTTTATTTATTTACCTATCTCTGCATCGTCGGAACTGTCACCACCAGTGTGATGTAGTTTGCTATATGGTCTTAATTCTGTATTTTCCTAAAAGACCTGAAAGTTCAATCCAAAGGAGTCTAGATTACCTGCAACTTAACTTCAGTTCATAGTATGGCACCGGTCTTCCAGCAGAACAAAGAGTTTGTTATCTTTATTGTCTCAATAGCCTGAGTTAAAGCCAAAGTCCTCAGTGTTTTTTTAAGAATCTGACATCTCCATAGAAACACATAAACAGTGGGTTTAGCTCCTAGTTTTAATGGAATCTTATTTACACTGCTCTTTGCTATTTATTGCTACCAACTTCTAACCTACTTTTTTTTTTTTTTTTTTTTTACTGAAGAGGATTTATCATCCATAATCATGTTTCCCTTCTTACACATCTACTTTTCCCCAGTTTCCCCAGATTAAAAAAGTCCATTTAAAAAAAAATGGTGTAGGCAACAGCAGCCTGCTTTCATTTTGATTTAGATAAAGCCTCAGTTTTCTGTACTACAACAAGTACAACTCACAACTATCAGGCCCTCAAGGATCCAAATGTTTTAGGGGCCTCCTTAGAAGTTTTCTAATGTGATTGTCCCTGTTACTGCTAGGAATTTCAGAGGATGAACTACTTCTCCCTTTCTTCTTTCTTGAACCTTGCGTTGTTGTTGTTTTTTTTAAATAGGAAAAAAATCATAGTCCAGGAAGGAATACGTCAGCTGCAAGACAGGTTCACCGTGGTTTCCATCTCACTTTCCTATTTCTATCCATGCCACCCATCCTAAAAGCCACAGGAAGGATCCCCTTCCAGCACATAACGTGGGTTAGGGATTTTTTAACCACATGGAAGACAGAACTTCTGTGTCCATTTCGGTAGGTAACACCGACTATCTGGAGACAAAGACCTCAAAGCAAATGATAGGAAAAATGCTGAACTATCTATGCATTTGTTATCCACCCATCAGAAAAATATCCTCCTGTACACAGATCAAAGGATCTATGAACATACAGGTCATGTGCAGCACTTACGCAAACTTAGCTATATCGTTCTGAAACAGTTTCAGGGACAAAGCTTTTCTTTTTTGACAAATGTACAAAAAACATTAATACCAGGAGTTGAGTTTGTTTTGTTTTATTTTAACACCTAATACAATTCAAATTTAAAGGATTACTTGCACAAAAAAATAAACACATTTGGTATAAAAATTTATCATCACTTTAACACCTTTTTTCTCTTCCTCTTATGACCTGCACCTTCTCTGGAGCAGAAACATATAAAGACTAATGGCACAAGTTGTTTTATCCTACAGATTTGTTGTTGTTGTTTTTACATACTCAAGTATTCTAGAGGACAACAGCCCGCTGTATACAAGAACCATTTTCTTCAGCCTGCTGAATTAAGTTTCATAAAGAACCAAAGCTATAAAGGCATTTTAAAAACCATTGTCTTATATTCTTTTTAGAAGCACTGACTTTTTGCACCATTTATATACATAATGTTACATAACAGCTCTTGAGTACAGTACATGCAGCAGAATATATCTGTTGAATATAAAACATACATTTAAAATCTTCACTTATCAGAATTCTTTGAAGACTGAATTATTGTAGAATGCCCATTGCTTAGAGAAAATGGTTTGAGAGTACAAATGTCTGCATATGTTGGCCACTGGAACAATCCAAGGCTCACGGGAATAGTATCTGTAGCACATCAATGTGCATAAATAATTTGCTTACAATATTAAAACACAACTAGCAAAATCAGTAATTCCAAGATCTTATGACTGCTATGTTAACCCTTCTTTAAGTGGTTGCAAGAAGTGTGGTGGGGTCCCCCCCGCCAAGTCCTCTACAAAATCTTTAGCATGTAATTTGTTTTCCAAATGAAGAAGCTTATTTATGTCTACTGCCTCTTCTCTTCATTGCAGCTGTACACTGTGGACAGTACCATTTCCCTTTTGGTGCTTCTGTCAGTCCAACACAGCCATAATGGAACCACTCAATAGGGCACTACAAAAACAGAGTTAAAAAGAAGGTTTGGTTTTTTTTTCTAAACACCTGTTACAAGAATCATTCAACAAAAATGAAGCACCACTAAGAAGCACAGGTCCTGCCTTTCACACAAAGTCACAGGACAAAACGAGAAGAGTAGGTCAGTCTCTAAAGTACACTCAGAGAAAACAAACAACTCTAGAAGTCAAGCATGGAACAACGTTAACAGAGCAAATTAAGTATATTATGCTTAGGAAATAATCTCATTTGGCAACACCTTAAATGTCACAGAAGTAATTATTACTCACTTCTGTGTAAATGAAGAAGTATGTCAATTATTAAATCCTTCCGTTCAACCATTTTAAAATTTTATTTGAATTGGACAACTGGTACTAGTAGTGACACAGCTAAAAGTACCCAGAAATAAAGGGTATTTTAAATACGTCAGACTTTCCTGAAATTGGATAAAGCCTTCTAAAACAGTTTGAACTATGGGGGTAGATGGGGAGAAGTTTCCTAAAGAATAGTTCAACCCATATATACACTCCCACTGTACTTTTATCACAAACACTTAAGCTCTACTGCTGTTTAACATTTTCATGAAATTGTCTATGAACCTGGCTCTACTACCACTTCTAGTATCTACTGCAAACCTCTAGTTTTTTCTTCATTCTTCAACTAACTGACTTTCTGCATGATTCCTTCAGTTTCAATACAAGTCACGAAAGACGAAATAAGAATGAAAAATCTGAAGTAGCAAGAATGAAATCCATAAATATCAGAATAGTAAGTGGTACATTTCTAATATTTAAAGAAAACTTTAGTGTTAGAACAAGCCTTTTTAATTTTGAAGCTGCTCACAGAGGAAAGAAAATTACTAATATGTAGTGTTACAACATTTAAGATAGTGAATAATTGAGGAAATAGTCAAGTTGGTTTAATGCAAGGGTTCAAAATTTAATTATGCTTCGTTTTTTAGCAAAAATATTCTTTCAACCTCAAAAAAATTAGTAAGCATAGGTTCTGTTTAGAACGGAAGAACTAAATAAGCTTAGAAGTTCTTAAAAGCAATGTTCCCACTGTACAAATACTTTTGTTCCATATAATAACTGAATCATTCTCTGCTTAAGGAGGAAAAAATGGAACACAAGCATCTGGAATTAATAATATTAAAAACATATTTTCATCTTTTCTTCTTTCACCACTTTCTTCCACCCATCCTACATGTTTAAAGCATGGCTCTTTTTTTTTTTTTTTTTTTTTTTTAAGATCACTGCCAAGCCTAAGGTGGAGTACAGGACAAGTATGGAAAAAGTATTATTTGCTTTTTTTAAACCAATAAAGCGTCATCATTCTGTACAGGAGAGTAAAACTGAAAACAAAATAAAAAAACTCTACTGTAAAACTTACTCTAAAAAAAGTTAACTACTGTAAGCAATATTTATATGCACAAGCCTCTCTCATTAATCTTTAGGACTTTGTTACTTACATCTTGGTTATCACAGCCTACCATTTCACCATAGGACACCTAATTAAAAGAATAAAAAACAGTTATTAATAATTATAAGCAACTGACATTTTCATAGGGCCAATATCAGAATTTTTCCATTGAGGATTTTTTCATTAATAGCAGCAATGATCTTTTGATTTTTTTTATTTGTTATACAATCTGAAGAATGTAATGTTCATACCAAATGGATTTCCAAAATCAGTTTTTTATGCAAAAATGATATTTTTGCATATTTCAGGTTGTATGATAATTCAGGTTGTATGATAAAGATCAGCATTCAAAACCTGACCTAAGCCCTTAATTGATCTGAACAACAGTACTCAGCACATTACCAGTCCAGATTTCAAGATGATACTGCTGTTCAACATTTCCCTTGCAAATATGACAATTTTAAGCACTTTCACTATTTAAAAATATTACATGTTTTCAATAGAATTAAAAAAATTCTATACACTGAAAAAACCCCACCCTAGCACACTTAAAAGTATTTAAAATAAGAACAGACATTAAATAAAGCTTCTCATGTCCTCCTGCAGTCTTTGAAGTTTCTTGGTGGCTTTTAAAAAAACTAGTAGTTTCTCCATTATTCACAACAAGAAGGAAAGTAGGAGATACCTGGCAAATGATCTTCCTTACTAACTTGGAATCTTAAGTAAATTCACTGTGAACCTGTTCACTCTTGAAGTCTCAAGTCTTGAGTAAAAGATTTAGAACTCTCCACATATGTTACATCACAGAAAAACTTACAGATGAGTTCACTATTCATATCACCAGCAGGTGAATACTAAAACCATTCTATCCTCAGTAGTGAAATTCTGATCTGTTTTTAAATTAGCAATTAGAGATGGAAGTTAAACTACAATGAAATAGCAGCTCTGACTATACTTCAGGTTAGAAGTCTTTCTTACCTGATTACAAATGCAGTAACGCGGTTCATTTGGATCATAGGTCCAGTCAACCTGGCTATTAGAATCAGACTCTGGTATTACTGCTGTTTGCTGAGACAGTTCTTGTGCTAATGCAGATGAAGAAGAACACGATGATAGAGAGGAAGAGGACGAAGATGAGGAGGACTGCTGACTTGAGGATTTGTTGTTGTTTCTGAACAAACAAAAAAATAACATACGATAAATACATTTACTACCAAGTGAAAGGATCATAAAGCAAATACTACATAGACTCTGAAACATTACAGAATGTAAATCTCAAAGTGTCATTCCATAGTAGATTTCAAGAAGTGAGACGGATGTATTGAATGCTATTTGGAAAAGGAAATCAATCCATGCCTATAAATACAAGACAGATTATTCTAATCAATGGAATTTAACAGCTTTAAGCTGTCAAATTACTTTAATGAATGTTTTTCTTCACAACGTTTTCCACTGATAGCCCTGGTGTCAAGTCTCCATAAAAATTACCACCAATAAAATAAATAGAATTTGCATATAGATGTTACATATGTCATGTACAACAGATAGCTGTGTTTTGAAGATGACTGATTCTATGTTAATCCCCACTTAAGCACCATCACTCCACTAGAACTGTGCCAGTATACAAATATTAAGCTTTTGCTTATAGGTCAGATCTGACACCCAAGACAGCCGGCTGTAGATGAAAATCATTTCTTAGACGCAATTATTAAATGAACTGTAAACGCATGCAAATTTGTATGAAGAAGAAAATATGCAAGTCAGTTTAAAAGGATGTGCATTCTCAATGAGCTCTTTCCAGTACTGGTTGACTAGAATCTTCAAATACTTTTAAATTAATCAGACACAGAATCCATTCTGTTTCCTGTCCTAGATGTTCAGCCTTCAAGTGTCATGATTATTCGCAAAGTGGCATGAAACAGATCTAGTTCAAAACCATTGACAAAGCATTGCATAACAATTCCCAATATTTGATTTTAGGCCAAATCTTCACTCCAGAACAATGAGAAAAGAAACCAGACTATGTAACAGAACAAAAAGCAAATGAAGACTTCTATTTAAAACCTTGAAGTGAGTGTGTTTAAATAAAAAAAAAAAAAAAGAGAGAGAAAAAACAAGAAAGCCCTGAACAAAAAAAGCCAGCAGCTGTATGGGTTGTTGTCCCAAGAACATTAAATACAAAATATTTCTAATATGTGCCATGCATTTTAAAAGAAAGCTTAGCTGCCTTAAACCGTAAGTGTAGTCAATAAGAATGAAAACCTACTTGCTTTTTCTGCCACTTCGTGAATCTGTGGTTGATGAACTTAACGTCTGTGTTAATGTAGAAGCCAGAGCTGATGACGAATACCCAGCTGAATCTCTGGATAGTGAAAATTCTCTTCCAATCTGAAAATCATTGTTCTTAAATGCTTCATAGCTGGCTTTTAGACTGGATGTTCTTCTTCCTTCCTTCATCTAAAAGGAACACTGATACTGCATCAGATTACACAGTAGGATTCTTACATAAGATACACCAAGCTGCAAACTACTATTTGCATGAACAAAACAACGTACATAAGCGGTAAAAATGGGTAGGAATATGTCATAGGAAAAGCTACATAACAAGCTGTTCCTTTCTGCAAGTTTTACAAGATGAAATTGTAGTATACAAAGAGCAGTAGTAATACGAAAACTGAATTGCATCACCTGAAGGTGATCATGGAAATGCAGATGAAGACAATCACTAGTCTTTCTCCTTAATCAATAGTGGATGGCAGACTTTCAAGAATGTTTTGACATTACCTGTGCTGTGGCTTGCACCGCTTGAGCTGCTGCCATGGTAATAGCACCGGCCCCAGATCCTGAAGATAATGAGCCCAGGTTATATGATGCCAATGGTTGAGAAGAGTTTGTATTGTATGCATTGTTTGAAGAGGATGATGAATTACTGTTTCGACACCCTTGATGAACAGAATACATTTATGAAATTCAAAATGAAACTAAATACCTTTGCATTTTAAGAAGAGTTATACATGACAACCAGTGAAAGATTAGGTAGTCTGGTTATGCATCAGAGTACTATGATCACTTTAAAAAGTTTTAGAAAAGTTATTTAACACAGCCAGCATTGGCTTAAAAAAAAAAAAAAAAAAAAAAAGTTTATTCCCCACCTATCCTTATGTGCCAAGAGTCCCTGCTCAGTCCAGCTGCTATGTCTGTATAAACCAAATGCCAGTTAAAACAATGCTCACTGCAGTAACCATCAAAGAGAAAGTATGAGTTTGACTGCACAGAAGTACTGCTTCTAAAATATAATTTAGAACGAATCTGAATTATAAGAACTACAGACCACAACAATTTTAACAAAACACAAATTTCCATAGCAGTCAACAGATTGACAGCTGCTCAACAAACGCAGTTCCATTTCATTTGCCATCTCTTGCGAAGCTCCTTAAAAAAAAAATATGAAGGAGACTATATAGAAGCGGTGAACAGCACTAAATTCCAAAACCTACTGTAGGCAGACAATGCAATGCTTAATTTGTATTACAGTTCAGGAGGATTAGTCCACATCAAAGAAAAAAAAACAACATCATCCTTTTCACTTCAGATAGGCAAATTATTTAGTTACTGTGACCTACAGGCAACTGTGGTTCGCATGTATCAGACCTGCTAAGTCTAAAGCAAAAAGAGATAAATTCATTTCTGCACAGTATTTGGGAAAAATATATAAGTACAAAATACAATGATTACCTGCTCTGCTCTTCCACAAGCTTTCATTTTCCACAAAACAAACTGTGGAACACCCTCACTTTGAAAATGAGCAGAAAGGGTTTTTGTTTTTTTTTTTATTTAAATTCACTACTCAAAAAGACTTCTCACCTATATTAAAGTACACAACACTCCAATGGATTTTTTTTTTTTTTACTGTAGCTGAATGACAGGTCACAAACACCCTTTAAAAATAAAAAAAAGGTGAAAATTCTTCTCCCTTACTTTGCAAGTAGTTGCACTGCTTTGTTTTCCAAAAATAAGAGTGCACTGAATGTAGTATTTCTACTCCTGTTTGAATGAAACTGTACTGTTATCCTCTTCCAAGCAGTGTGAAGAAAAGGAAACCGCTAACACAGCTGTCAAATGACAACAAACCTCATGTGCTTCATGGATAACACAGATGGTTAACAATGCCTGCAATTTCTCATGTTTCAAATGACTGAAAAACCATTAAAGCCTAATAGCCTCTGATCTCAGACATTAGTACAATTCACAAATAATTGGATCTCACTTCTTCCTATTAAAAAGTAATGCAGTGCAATGACAATTAATATTACCTGGTGTATTCTCTTTAGAAGCATCGGAAGTGAGAGTAGATAGAAGAGCTTCAGATTTAAACTTCTTCTCAGGAACATGATCTGTTGTACTATGGTGAGAAGATGGATTGTGTTTCCTTTCTAAATAAAAGAAGTTTAGTGAACTGCAATGCAAAAGCTTTTCAGCCTGAAAGTAAAACTGTAACTAGAAATGCTAGAACAGCATTCTAAACTAAATCCCTCGAGTAAAACCTTGTTATTTTATTCTTGCAATCCCTCTGAACAGACATTATCACTGCATTATGACCACTTTTTTCCAGTGTTTGGAGGGGAAAAAATTATAAAGTTGTGGGTATTTTTTTTTCCTGATACTATTTGACAAGAAATAAGAAAATTTAAAAAGTGAACATGTTTTTACGTTGCAAGAACTTACTCTCTACGGGAGTGTGCGAATGAGCATGATGGTTATTCACAGGCTGTGATGGTGTATCCAGCTCCAGAGACCCTAATAGGGAGTTAAAAAGGAGAAGAAAATTTGAAAGCCATCACTGAAATGATTTTGACTTTACATACTAAATGAATCTTCATAATATTAACCAAATCACTATGCAGTTACACTTATTTGGATCAGAACAGTTTTTTCTAGAGCTGAAACCATTCCCATAATACAACAAGGAGCCTAGGGAGTAAAACAGTTTTAAACTAAAAATTGATGACTGCTGCCATATAACTACTGAAATCAAGAAGTTAAACCCAAGCCCAATAAAGAGAAGAAACAACACTGCTGTCATCGTGCCTCCTAGTCCAATGAGTTGCACACAGGCTAGTGATGGTTGTAGACTGCTGCACGAAAAGTACTAATGATCTGCACTGATGCAAATTGAACAGCATCACTACGTTCATGAAGAGAAAAGCCTGTACTAAAATACAGTAACAGGTACGCTGTATTCACAAGGCAAACTCCCATCTTGTCATACTGAGTCAAAACAACCAAGGAGTAGAAATGTCTTTTAAGATGCTCTAACATTCAGTACTACAGGCTTCAGATCAGCGTTCTTATTTTCTGCAGTGGTGGGGGAGCAAGCCAAATGCTGACAGACAGGAGAACACGAAGCTTCAGTAATCCTAATTTAGATTGATCTAACCCATAAAACTACCATGGTTTTTGGTAGCACTACTTCATTTATGCTGTTCTTGAAAAATTATTCTGAGGTCATTTTTGTAGTAGCTTCGATACCGCATTAAAAAAAGGCAAGCTCTCACACACATTTTGTTGAGTCAAGAGAAGGGAAGACAAGAGAGGCAGGGAGAGAGGCAGGGAGAGAGGCAGGGAGAGAGGCAGGGAGAGAGGCAGGGAGAGAGGCAGGGAGAGAGGCAGGGAGAGAGGCAGGGAGAGAGGCAGGGAGAGAGGCAGGGAGAGAGGCAGGGAGAGAGGCAGGGAGAGAGGCAGGGAGAGAGGCAGGGAGAGAGGCAGGGAGAGAGGCAGGGAGAGAGGCAGGGACTACTTTTTCAGTTGTGATTACGATCCAAATCTATGTCTAAGAATAACATTTCTTGTAATATTAGTCATGAGGCTAAATGATCACAGCACAAGAGAGATTATGACTGTAAGTTTCTATATACACAACAGTTTGTGCAGTCTTCAGGAGGAAGAGATTTTGAACTAACTGCAATACCAAGCAACTTATACACAAAAAGATTTAATAATTCAAGAAAGTAATTCAAATTCATTTCTCTAAAACTCTACCTTCCACATTTCTTTACCCTTTTTCCTATCAACACTTTAAAAAAAAGTACTTGAGTATTACCAAAAGAAAAAGAAAGTAATCACAGTTACTCTAGAAGAGGTTCCAAGCACAAGAAGATAGTCTGACTGAGCAAACATTAATCATGTTATGAACTAGTCAAAAGGCTGCCCTCTGGTGGAACATTAATAATATACATGTTAGCAGTCAGAGTAAATGCAAAGAGGTTTCTACTTTTCATATTATTAAAAAAAGCAGTACTTTAAAGATGTAACACGCAATCTGGTATGTTTGTCTTTTAAGTTCTCAAAATTCTCCTAACCCACCTCAGCAATCGCATGACTCAACTGAAAAGCAGAATGGCAACCTAAAACGGCAACTTGGAATCCAAATATAACAAACTAGTTGCCTTTTTATGTAGCTGCTACTTCATTTAAAAACACTTACCTTGCAGTTTTCTTTTTGTGTCTGTTATTTTAAAAGAGCAATTACAAATAAAATATCTAAAAGGGGATCTTTTGTGACAAAGCCATACAAGGTTCAAAGAAAGGGTATTCCTAACCTCCTTGTGTGATTTAGGTTACTATCTCACTAGCCTTGGGTTGGAAGTACAGTCACCAACTCTTAATTCCACAATCACAATACCTAAATTAATTTTGAATTTGATTATAATCACATTTTAACTTGACAGCAAAATATTGATGCATATAGAAAAGTTGGATTCGCCTATACCAAGCTATCCACAAAGCTATCAAACTACCATTTTAAAATCTTCAGAAATTAATACCATATTTTTGTTTGCATTCTTAATGCTAGCATCGCAACATTTGTAAGCATGCAGGTTTCCTCCCCAAAATGGTTGTCACTTTTACAAAACAACCTGTCCCTCCCCTCCAAAACACAAAACCACAGAGTGCCTAACTTAATACTTGATATTCTACAACTATAACTAAAACATCCCCCCTCCTCAATTTGGTGGTAATCAATTCACGTAAGGCATAGTATGTTTTCGACTGGGTAAGTACTGCAGTGCAAACTTTCCACTTATCTGAGCACACAGAGGTGTTAAAAGCAGGTTTAAAGAATTTTGTACCTTATTTTAGTAATTCACAAGTGCAACAGTTTTGGGAAAAAAAGTTATTCTAAATACTCAGTTGTATTTTGACTCGATCAATTAACGCTGAGGCTGGAAGTAAAACTTGAGATCACTTACTGATAGAAGGTATCTATGAAAAAGCATAGTTTTGAAACTAACAGAAACATTACAGGCCACTAACGAATTTATGGTATTTTCATTTGTCAATTTGACAGAAAACCTGTCAATGTTCTTTAAGAAAATTAGGCATACTTACGTCTCTCTAATATTTCTGTTATTCCAGCATTATCTGCTTCAAGTTCCATTTTAAATTTGGCAAGTTCCTGGTCAAGTTTTCTCAAATGACGGTCTACCTGTTTTTGAGACAAACCAACAATAAGTAACATCCGATTCCAGAACAGTAATAGTTACACCTTTAAGTCTTGGGCCTGCTAAATATTTCCCTTTCAGCAATTCTCTGGCATACAGCACTGAGCATGAAACACACAGAAGTATAACTTCTGGGTTACCTACGTTTCCCTAACTCAGCAGCCAGACTAGAAATAACATCAGAATAGGGCTGTTGCTCCTCAGTTGCCCAGTCAATCACAGCATACTCCAAGGCTGCATATAGGCTTAGCAGCTAGAAGCCCTCCTCTTCTGAAAGTAATGTTCCAAGATACAGGGTTAATAGTTTCTTCTGAGAAAAAAAGAGGAGGATTTGGGGGTATTGTGGGTATGGGTATAGAAGAGGGAAGCAAAAGAACATGCACTTTAGAAAAGGCTGGGCTGCTACACTTTGAAATTGAGGATATTTTAGTGAACCACAATATTTGCATGCAACTATACACATCAGTAGCCTTAGGTATTTAGTAGGTGGGTCTCTAAACTGTAAATTTAAAGACTGCTGTGTTTTTGAGTGAAGTGTGACACCTCGAGCACTGGAGCATGATCCAAGAGCACTTGGATACTGAAAATTAAGAAAAAAATCTAAACAGCTTGGAAATAAACACTGTACTCGAAACGTTTTTTTCATCTATAGTCATACAACAGAATACTGTATCTATCTGTACATTAAACCACTGCAATTTGAACAAGTTTTTGCAGTTACCAGCTAAGCAAATGAGAGAGGTTAAGTTTCTACAGTTTGTTATCAGATTGAGGTAGAAAAAGTAGACAAGGAATATTTGTTTTTTTGTCTACTATATTTTCCTGCAGTTTAACTTTAAAGTTCTGTACTCTGAGAAAATGTAAAGTAGATATATTTAAAACTGAAGTAAAGAAAAACAGGAATACAAAAAACTAGCAACCTTGGGGCTTATAAGTAACAATTATTACTCAGAGCAACAAAGTTTCTTAAAGTCAGCATGTTAAATGTCCTTTTCACAGCAAAATATAACTGTATGTAGCTGACATACAAGTACAGGTAATACAGTTGAAATACTTATCAGATTGTTTAGAATTCCTTAAGGTGCAAATTTAGATAATTCACTTTCGTCTACTTACCAAATCATATATTTGGTTAGCCAGTTGTACTTTTTCATCTGCATCTTCCAAAGCCTTATAATAGTCCTGTTAGGAAGAGATATTTTTTTTTAATTATGAATGTAACTGAAGTAAATTCTGTTATTTTTGTTTTAACTATTGTAACCCAGTGTGAAACGTAAGCTAAAAGGAGACCTCTGTGTTACTTTCCAAAGACCGTGAAGCTGTATTGTAAACAACAATCAGCTAAAATCATGCCTTAGAAAAAGCCAAATCACAATATGTTGACAGTGACAGTCAGATCTCACATGCTAGTTTGCTGCAAGAAAAGAAACAAAGTCTTGGATTTGTTTTATATTATATAGCATAAACTTATGGACTCACAATGAGGTATCATTCAGAGTTTTATCTAAATGTATTATAAAACAATTTAACCAAAACAACACAATTTAAACTCTGCTCTAACTAATGAAAATCCACAGACAAAACTTGATTTTTTAAGTAGGCTTAAGCATGTTTCAACTCTGATTTTAAACAGGTTTAAGTGTATTTTCATTCCTGATTTCCACTGAGAAGTATCTTGCTTAGCTGAACACTATGTGAAATCTTGGTCCCAATGAAGTCAAAAGTTTTTTTTTTTTTTAAATTTACTCTAGTGAAGTCAGAACTTTTATATACACATATATATTTATATTTGTATATATAAATCCTTTTGTATTGACTAAGCAAAACACCCTCGGCTGAATAAGGGGCTAAAGCAGCAAGCACAGGAGGCTAAAAAGGATTCTTCTTTTCTGAAAATAGATGGCCTACATTGCTAACAATACCATTACCAGATCTAAGCGTTGAAAAATAAAATAAAAGCCAAAACACATCCATCTTCCATTCCTCTCCCCCTAATACTACTTGTACCGTAAGTATACCATATACAGGGACATAAGAAGACTCAAAGGGAATGCTGAACCTCAGCTTGGAAAACATCCTCTGAAAGAAAGCCAATTCATTTATGCAGCTTCCTGTCACACAAGCAGAAACAAAGATTAAAAGGCTGAGCTGAGAATATAGTACTTGCTATCCTCATCACTATAGGCCCCTAATTTTTTAAAATACTAGTGCATATTGGGCAAAACTGAAGATAAATGCTTGATCAAGGAAGCCTTTCAGCCATTTTTCTCCTCTTAGGTAGTTCTATGTACCTTTGTGAAAGCCCAAGGGAAGCCATAGTTCTGAACACTTAGTTTCCATGAATTGTGGCCATAAACTGATTTTTTCCTAAGGTTATCTTCTTTTGCAAAAGAAAAACGTGACCCACTCCTGGGAGGTCCTTACTTTTTTGATAGAAGTCATTTGTTCTTCTCTCCATTCAGGTTTGTTTTTCTTTGCATTCATAAAAAATTCATTTACCCTCTGCTCAAGTTGGTCCATTGCATCTATAGCAGAAGAAAAGATTTTAAGATGCATGTTATCTTCTCAGGTACGTAAACACTATAAAATAAGGTGGTTGTTTTTTCTTTAACAAAGTTGACAGGACTGAGGTGCAAACTATTAGAGGGGAAAAAAAACCACAAACCAAGTGACAATGGACAGAGGAGGGAAATATTACCTTAACTTCCAAGAAACAGAATAGCATTCTGATAGGATCCTCATCAAGGTTCTTGTGCTCTCCAGCATGGGACAGGCAGGACTCCAAGTTCTAAAGGTTTTCTGTCCCTAAGAGCAGTGGTAGTGACTTAAAGTATGACCCAGACTCCTCACCCAGGGCTCTAGATTGCTGACCTTGGAACTTCCTAGCCCGTTACAAACTGAGCAGGAAACAAAATATTATCCTAAGAGAAACAGTCAAATACAAAACCAGATAACTGAAGAAAAACTAGCGCTTCAAAAAGGTAGAGCAACAGAAGAGTAAAGCCACCACCTTCAAGTCAAGGTTCTCTCTATAACTTCCCAGGAAAAGTGACAGTACACTGAAAGCGCTCAGAAGGTTATTCCCCCCCACCCCTACAAGGTATAATTGAGGGGTAAACCCACTGATAAGATGCTACTTGGACAGGATTCTCACTTATGATATTTCTCAGTTTCACGTAAGGGGAAAAATAAAGCCACCAATTCTTTAAAACTAATTATCATAAGAAAGGAAAATGTCTGTCAAACTACAAGTTATTGGTTTGGTTATTTACTAAGATAGGAATGGGGATTCCCTTCCCCTCCTCTCCTTCAAGGAAAGCACTGAGGTTAGTATTTCAACAGCTGGACTTTTGTCCATTCCACAGCTTGTGTATTTCCAAGACCAAGCAGCTGCCACAATCAAACTCGCTTTGACAGCCTTACTAGTCTCAGGATAGATGATAGTACTGAAAATGGTTTTCACAGAACTCTCAGTGATACCATCCAGACAATAGTTTCAAATGAAACACGACAATGTATCTACTTCCTTCCCCCTTCAGACTCTCAGTGTAGAACGCTCAAGACTTTTTTTGGAATAAAGCATTAAAATTGCCTCACATGAGGGTGATCATCTCCAAAAAAAAAAAAAAAAAATTAAGAAAATACCTCAAGAAACTCACGAGTATGCAAGTACGATCTAATACTTCAAATCCAATGGAGCCTGTTGGTTTTCGCACTTTGGGAATTTTCAGGACTAGAACCAATTATTCATGTAAACAACCAAATATCATGTACACTACATGATCCAAGAGGAACATGTATTGATTTTGCCTAGGCTAGGAAGGCCCAGCATCAGAACCAATAGGATCCTAACAACTGACTGGAGAGACAGCAATTAATTCCAAATGAAAACAGTCACTACACAGGCTTACATCAACATTATTTACACCCAAAGTAGTCAAACAATTTTGGTGTAAAATAGGCTAAGGATGGGAGAATCTGGACAACATACACTTTCCACTTGTGTTCTTCTGTGAGAAATTAAGTAGTCTGAACAGGAAGCAAGCAGCTCACACTTTGTGAAGGCTTCTAAAAGCTCTGTTCTTTGGCCAAATGACTATAATTTGGTCTCTAAACCTCAAGGATAAAACGCTCCATCTTCTCTTCCAAGAGTGAAAACAGCTAGGTGAGGAACAGCAAGATTATTATGGCTTCCCAGACACGAAAAAAAAATTTCCCTCTTTACTTTTTACTGAGGACACCTTTCACTCTGTGTGAAATTGCATATGTGAAAACTTTCAAAGAAATTTGGACTCTCTTGAAAGGTTAGGACTGTTAAGGGGGAAACACAGGAGAGAACCTATTCAATTATCCAAAGGTTCTCTCTGGTATATGTAAGTTCCTTCAGTTTTTCTGTTTCTCCCTCTGCCCCCTTCTAAGCCTACTGTGACACTACATTCTGACATAATAATTTCTTAGAACAGATTTCGCAGGGGAGTTGCCAGAAATTCTACTAGAATAGAGAACTTTTTTCCCAGAGCTTGACATTTTATCACGGAGGCCTGATAATCCATGACTTGAACTGAAATAGATAAAGACATTTTAAGCTCCACATGTAAACTGTCTTAGTTGGACATCAACAGTCAAAGTCACAACTTGGATGTTCTTCCCTTTCCCACAGGTATTATCAAGACGTAAAATAGATACAGTTGGTTTGCCTATACTTATTCCAATGACAAGAAGCAACACCTGTCCCTTTAGAAGTCCATGTTCCCCACAAAGGACAGACTATAAAGTCAGTATCAACTCTGACAGTAGTGCAGTTATCGCTTTATGACTCTTGTAGTTTTCTGAGACAGCATCCCTTGCATAAATGCTGTTTTCAAGGCCGTCAGAGACACTGAAGCTACACAGAAAGTCACTATTTCACAGCATCAGAATAATCTGGTTGATACGGAACATTCAGCTGGCTGTCTGGCAATTGACATGGAAGAGATGAGAGTCCTGGAGTTTTGTAATGTCTTGGGATGTTTTGTCACTCATTGTGCAAGAATTATTGAAGTACTACGGTCCAAAAGAGATTTGTTTTTTTCAATCTGGGCCTAAGGTTGAACTTAGTATAAAATACTTAGTGTCATTTGCCATTTCCAGTTATGGCAGAGGAAACGACAGTACTGCAGCCTTGGCAACACTAGTCGGCTCGTCCTGAAATACACTTTAAGTACTAGCTTTGTTTCCATACTCAATAGAAGGCAAATTTGTGATCTTATTTGGAACTACCTAAGCCCACGAGCTGCTTCCTTCCCTCTCCTGGTGCTCCCTAGTGACACTTACTTCATAAATGTTATCTCCTACTGCTCAGCTCCTGAGCCACTGTTCACGTCCTTTGGCTTTGGCATTGAAGCCAGGATAGCACTTACACCACAGTATACAGAAAAACTTATAGCCAGTTCAACACACATTAATAAAGTCTGTCAAACAGACCAGCTGGAATCATTAAAGTAAATACCTCAGATCAAGCTTGAGACCTCACTTGAAAGGATTATAGGTCAAACTATTGTTTGACCTATTGCACTCCTAGACAGCAAAATATTGTAAGCATGGTGCTGCATTTCATACTACTGCACTGCACCAACTTGTTACTTCAATCCTTGTTCTTTCTCTCTCTCATTCTTCCTTATGATTGCCCAGTCCTTCTGTATTGATGAATCCTCGCAACTTTTGTCACAAAGAACAATTTCGTCAACAAAGAGCTTTGCATTATGGTCATGACCATATTAATTGTGTGTTAAATGACAGCAACACCTAACTAGAGCCAAAGAATCCTTTAGCATCCTGACATAAGTCATAGATGAGACCAAAAGGCAAGGAATCCTGAAAACAAAATTAGGCAGCATCTGAAATCAGGATATAAACACAAGATATACAAAAAGATCAACAGAGAAACGTAAAGTGGACGTATATTTGGTAAGTGCCAGCTAAGGCACAAGAGACTAGGCAGAAAACATTTTCACATGTACAATCATGAGGGGAGATGGCTGGAAGGTTTCAGAAACAGCGCACAGCGACCTGCTGGAAGAGCG